CGCCCCGCACAGCCCCGTGCTCGCGGCCACCACATCCAGAGCGCCAGCGACGACATGGGCAGCCGCGGCGCGCCCGATCCGCGCGCGGGTGAGTCTCCAGGGGTGCCTCTCCTCCCCACGCGGCCGGGCATCCTCTGGATTCAAGCAGCGGGAGCTCCCGCAGGGACCGTTGATGTGACCTTGGAGCAATCACTCCACGGATAGGCACGGGATGGTGCTGGGGAAAGGGGGTGAGGGGTGAAGCTGCGCGTACCCCGTGTGACACTCTGGACGCGAGAGGGTTAACTGCATGCTGACGCGCAGGGCTGAAGTTGGGCGCAGAGCGCAAGTGGCATTGCATCTTCGCGGGGGCTGCAAACTAGCAGACAGCAGAGCCCCCCCGAGGGACTGTTTGAGGCGAGCCGAGGGTGTGCAGAGTTTGCCAGGACTATGACAAGTCTATCACCCCCAGTCAGAGCTGAGTGACCTTGGGTGGGTTAGCCACACTGCTTCCCCGCGGGTTCCCTGGGTCTCTCCAGTTGCAGCGCAAGGCTGTTTTGCTGGTACTGTGAGCTGAGGAAGGGCCCCTTAATCATGTTTATTCTGCAAGGGATTTCCAATAAGCTGACTCCCAAAGTGGCCAGAAATGTTACCATTTTCTGGAAGATTATGGAGGGAACACTCTGTGGTCCAGGAAGGCTGGTTAAAATGCATTGATTAGAATCACATCGGTGTTCCTAAACCCTAAATTCTTTTCAGTCTTAAGCTACTGAATAGTTCTTTCCAGTAGTTGATCTGATAGGAAACTTTGTGTCTGAACAGGTAAAATCAAAACCCAGTAGTGGCAGGCAGTGGCAAATTAAAGTGAGTCATTTCTTCAATGTGCAGAAGCTGTGTGTGTGTGTGTGTGTGTGTGTGTGTGTCGCGCATGCGTGCACTCATCTTAAAGTCTGTGTGTGCTGGTGTTAGAGATTATTTCACAAAAAAACTGCTGGACTGGTTTGGATCTCCAGAGGGAATCTCTTGGAAGCAGGGGCAAACATTTTGCATTTGCTCTTTAAAGATTGGTGGTGGTGGTGGTGGTGGTGGTGGTGGTGGTGGGGAGCTGACAAGGTGGCTCAGTGGGGTAATGTCCTTGTCACCAAGCTTGATGACCTGAGTTTGATCTCCAGAACCCACACTGTGAAAGGAGAGAACCATCCAACCCCCGTAAGTTGTTCTCTGATCGTCACACCCACACAAGACCCACAAGCTAAACAAATAAATGTAATGAAATCCATGAATTAGGTTTCTGAGAGTAAATATGTTCTTTATTAAGAAATGTACATTGTATCTCCCCCCCCCTTTCTGTGTATGTGTGTGTGTGTGTGTGTGTGTGTGTGTGTAGAGGTGACTTACAGGCTGTGGTATTTCTTCTAATTTTAGCACTGACCGGTACTAAAAATGACAAGGAGACCATTTTCCATATTTTCCATCCATATACTCTATCCCTTTAAGGGGGCACAAGGGGTGCCCAGGATTCCTGTCACTGTACGGTTGAGATGTCTCTGACTTTGTGGTTCAAGGACACTCTTGGTATCTGTGGGAATCTGACCTCCTCTGTTTAAAAAGGTGGCCTGGGAAGCTAAATTCTCAGTTAATGAGCAAACTTCTGCCAGCTTACCTACCTGAGGGCTTAGAAGTCCTTAATGTGTTACCTGCTAGAAATCTGCCCCGTTGCAGATACAAAACCCCTTGTTGCCCAGGAGTTCCATCAATCAGCCTACAGCCCTTTAACAAAACACAAGCCCTCCACCTTAGAGCCTCCATCAGCAGAGGACTCATCCTCCTGCCCTGCGGCTGCTAACCCATGTGACGCCTGTCACTCGGGCTCTCTCCTCTTTTGGGTCTTGCAGCCTCGCTTCTGTATTTTCATTTTCTGTCTCTGAGCTCATTTCCACTTTCTCCCCTTTAACCAGAGTCTAAGGATGTGACTTCCCCAGAACGTCCTTTCTGGGATCTACTCATAGAATCAGGATGACTTGGCCCTAGCTCCTTCGTGTCACCTCCAAGCCATTAACTCTTAGAATGTGATACTCTCTTCTTGACCTCAAGTCTCTCCTTGTGTTTCTGACTTTAAGTACTTCCCAAACCTGATAGCCCCTCAGAATGGCCAGACACGTTTTGAAAAAGACAGACTCATTTAGACTCTCTCAAATAGCAAAATGGAATCATTAGGATGGTTTAAGACCATAAAAAACCCAAACCAATCACCAAACTAAACCCTTTCTGTAAAACAACCACAACCACAACCACAACCACAACAAGATAAGGCTTAGGTCAGCTAAAGGCACCCGTCACCAAGACAGGCAACCTGAGCTTGCACCTCAGAATCTACACGGTACAAGGAAAACCGGACACTTCTAAGTTGTCTTCTGACTTACACATATGTGTCAAAATACTCACAATTTTTTTTAAAAAAGCTTTTTTAAAAAAATTGTTTGTTTGTTTTGTCTAAAAAGAAAAAAAAAGAGAGAGGAAGGAGAAAACAGTTTATTTGATTCTGGCTCAGGCAGGGAAACCACTTCATTTGTGTCTAGGCAGAAGTCATGCAGTCCTTGTTGGTGACTTGGGATTTCACATCGAGACTTGCCCCACTCAATGACCTTTCAGTCCCTCAGCCTTGACCCCTGTGGCTCAGCCTTGACAACTATGGCTCAACCTTGACCCCCGTGGCTCAGCCTTGACCTCTATGGCTCAACCTTGACCCCCATAGCTCAGCCTTGACCCCCACGACTCTGCCTGCATTTCCCTTCGACGACTAATACCACAGACGTGCTGAGTTTGGGCGGTTTTCCACTTTCAGGAGCTACGGCTTGGATTTCTTCCCACTGCACTAACTCTGTCTACGTACTGTGACTTCCACCATCCCCGGGGACTCCAGCCCCCGCATCCTTGGCGTTGCAATGCTGCAGCCTAGCTGCAGGACTCCACATCTTTGGTCTTGACATGATGATTTCTATTTATTTATTTATTTATTTATTTATTGAGTCAAGGTCTCATTACTTCAGCCTATCTGTAGGGCTCCACATCTTTGGTCTTGACATGCTGATTTTTTTTTTTTTGAGTCTCATTATGTAGCCTGGCTAACCTGGTACTCACTCTGTAGACCAGGCTACCCTCAAATTCAGAGAGCATGCTGGGATTAAAGGCATGCACCATGCCGTCATCCTTGGATTGCTTGGATTCCAGTCTCCAATGCCCAGACCACCCCCATTGTCTGTATTTTCTTCTCCTTCCCCTGGACTGTGTTGCATTTTAAACTGATGCTGGCTTTAATTTCATGGAGGCTTGCTTTCCTATGAAGCACAAGAATTCCATGTCATGAACTCAGACTACATCCGCTTTGCTCTGTGCCTCAGCTTTGTACCCCCTTAAACTCCAGGTTCCCTTTCAGAAAGTGGCTTTTGACAGATAAGACGAGAGTGTCCACATTCTCCCTTACTGCCCCCCACCTCAGTGTGGGTCCAGACGTACCCACCTTTACCTCTCCAAGTATTTCCTTCTCTACCTCTCCATGTCCTTGTGTTTATGGTCTGAAATTCAGGAACATCTCTGTGCCTGTCCTGTGTCCAGCCTAAAGCCATTCCACACCCTCAATCCCCCACTCTGTCCTTGACTACCCCGTTGGGATCTTGTTTTGCTAGAGTCTCCATTCTGTCCCCTAGAACCTTTTCTAGTGAAGGAAGTGGTGGTAGTTAATAGCCATGTGTGGCTACAGAGTTTCAGGATGTGCCTACTCTGACCAAGGACCTGAATTCTTATTCTCTTATTTACTTATTTTTGAGACAGGGTCTTGTTGTCCAGCCTGGGCTGTGTTTGAACTCACAATCCTCCTGCCTCAGCCTCCTAAGAGCTGAGATTATAGGCATGTTCTATCACTCCTGGCTTGAACAAAGTTTTCAATTTATTGGATTTTAGGGGAGCTTAAACTCAATTGAAACAGCCACGGGGAGCGGTTGGCTGTTGTGTGGGGGAGGGCAGGCCTGTGCCCAGGCTGCTCTGTTGATCTCAGCGGAGCTCCTCTCCTCTGATGGAGCACTTCCTTTATCTTTCTGG